GCCAAGTGGTGCTGTTTTATTTAACCTCAATTCCGCGTATGGTTTATTTACTTTTATTGATGATATGAATTCTTATCTCAATTACATAAAAAAGTAGTTTTCTTTGAAAAAATATTAGTAGTTAGTAAAATTATTGTAATATTACCAATATTTTGTACATATTAATCACACAAAATGCATCATATTGTACTAAAAAGTAAAAACAGTAATTCAATGAATAATATAAATATTTGTGTAAATAAGAACAGTAAATAATTGATTTAAATAAATATATTACTAGATTCTAAAGTGTTATAATCCTATATCTATTTTATATGTACAAGGTCTTGTCAAACAATTCTATACAACTAGCAACTACCTATCATGTTAAAAAAATAAATACTTTCTAAGAATTCGGGAAAGCTAGCCTTAAAACATACCTCTATTATTATTTTTAGTACCTAGGTACATTTTTTTTCTATTTCAAAGTGGTTAGTTTTCTTTTTTTACTTGAATCTGTTTTATTTTTATGACATTCACTATTTTTAAATTTTGTGTAGTTGTTTAAAATAATATTACTCATTATCAAAGAAGCAAAGGAGTAAATTTTTTTTGAGTTAGCACCACATTCACAAATTTTGTTCAAATCAATATTAAAGGTATCGGACTCTAAAGCTAATAAAGTAAGCTGCGATAATAAATTATGATGATCATTTGTTTTCAGGAACATACTTTCAAGATCTTTGTTATTAATTATATACTCGAAGATAGCACAAAGATGAAAATAAATAAACTTGGTTTCTTGAGTGGCAATACAGAGACCCCCTCTCTGCAGAGAATTAAAATATGTATGATCCGTCTGGATGCCTTTTGCTAGAACTACTAAACTTTGACATTTATCACATTTATTATTCTTCAAAACTGATCGAGCCACGTATCCACAGATGTATTCCTGCACAGAGTCATCAAAATTACTGTACAATTTTAAATAATCACTATGCAGAACAAATTTGAAATTGTTAATTTCCTGCAAACTTACACACATAACATCAAAATGTTTCGCACACACTACAGAATTTTTTGTTACCGTATAATTATCTCGGTGTATAGCTTTTAGCCATAATTTCTGTAATTCGGAAGTTTTTGGAAATGAAAATGTTGTTTGCAGTTCCTCAGTCTTCAGGGAACTCCTATAGTGGATTTGCACCTCGGCACACAGAGTTTCTTGGCATCTGGAACAAGTTTAAATATCTTAGATAATAATAATATCGAGACCTATACATGTGCTCTTGCACTTTGCAAAGTGGAAACAAATATTATATTGTTTTTATTTGCTTTTACCTTAACTCACCTTAATTTTTGCTCCTGTACCGATTGCAGTATTTGCTATAAATTCACAATCAAAACACAACTAATAATGGCATAACAGGTATGAACCAAATATAAACAGTAAGTAAACAATATATTGGTGTTTCTAGCCACTTTTTCGTTTGAAAATGCACCTCACTCTAGCAATAAACAATGAAAACAATACACAGAAACATATAACCTCAATAGCAAAATAGCACCATTGGCGACGTTGCCGTTATTTCCAACTTCATGGCTTGTAAGTGTAGAGGGCTGTGTCGTACCTCATTTATGCAATAGTTTAATCCATATAATTCAGTCCTAGATAGGTACATAATAGATCACTTCTGTGCAGAGCTGGGCAGGGCTTGAGTGCTTTGTGCTTGTAAAAGTGCTTGAAGCACTTTGAAGGCTTGAAAGCCCTGTGCTTCAAGCCCTTTTACATATTTGTAATTGGGGCTTGCAAAGTCAATTACTTCAGAAAAGTGCTTGGTAATTTGTAATTGAAAAAAAGTAATTCAAGCTTTTTCAATGAGCTTCAATTACTTTTAGAGGGCTTGAAGCACTTTTGGAAGATTAAAGCACTTCCAAAGGGCTTGAAGCACTTCCAAAGGGCTTGAAGCACTTTTAGAAGCTTAAAGCACTTCCAAAGGGCTTGAAGCACTTCAAAAGGGCTTGAAGCACTTTGAAAAAACTTGAAGCACTCTAAAAGGGCTTGAAGCACTTTAAAAGGGCTTGAAGCACTTTGAAAGGGCTTGAAGCACTTTAAAAGAGCTTGAAGCACTCTAAAAGAAATTTGAATTGACCATCATTTAACCTATCTCCCACCTAAAAATTTTGAATCGATGTGTTTTGTTGCTTAATTCTGATATCTATTCTGTGTCGGAATGCTTACCGCATAACACCGAATTTTCTGATTGATGATATTTATCTAGAATCTAGATTTTCGCTTATCGATATTTCTATTCTCAATAGGTACGATATTTTAAAAATATCGATACTCGTCAAATAGCATCGATATTTTAAATCCATATTTCGATACCAGTATCGATATGCTAATTTTTTTGTGACGCCATCTGTTAACCCCTTTATAGGATACCGGTCGATATATCAACCGGTGCGAAAAATTATATATTTTGAAGGAATACTGAATATGAATACTGGTCTAAATATCTGCCAGTTAATAAAATATACGCCTTGTTTAACGCACACTGGTGGATTTTTCGACCAGATCACCAAAATTTAAAAAAATATTAGGAAACGGTTGAAATATCAACCAGTGTGTTTCCATATAATTCATATTGTGTTGTTTCTCCGCACGTTATTATTAATTTTTACCCATTCATTGTTTATATAAATGCCTGATATTTTGCAGGTGAGTTAGTTACTAATATAAGATTGTTATTACATACCTAATTGTTTTGTTTATAAGGTTTGTCGCAGGGAAAATATTTGTAGGTACATTAGTTCTGACCTAACATCAAAATAAATTTAAAAAAAAATAGAAGTGATCAATTTAGTTTAGATTTTCCTGATTTTTAAATATTTTTGGGATAAACGATGGATAAAAAATTGTGTTTGGAAAAAATGGCAGATTTGGAGCCAAATGACCTGTTTGATATGAGATGTTCAGTGTCATTTCGATATTCTTGAATGGACTCTGGTTGAAAAATCAACAACCTCAAAAAAACACAAAAAAACAGTAAAAAAATCAAAATAACGAACAACACCTCTTTTCTGGACCGTAAGAAACTCAAACTCATTCTTATTTGGTTCAAAACCAAACTGAAATATTCTGCCCTCGGTTTTAACATCAAAGAAAATGAAAAATAATACAATTTTAGTAACTTTATGATATTTGCCTGAGTTGTTGTGATGTGTAAGGATAGGATACCATGTAAAAAAAAAATTACCCACACTTACAATTATTTTGGTTACCAATACCATTTACCATTCACAATTATTGTAATTGTAATTTGCAAAAAATACAAAATATAAAGATTCTCTAGTCAAATGAACTGAGGAAATTGGAAGTAAGCTTTTGTATTTTTATTGCTCACTAGCGTTGTTAGGTGTACTAAGATTTTAGGGCATATTCAAAGGGCTTCAAGCACATTTAAATGGCTGCATGCACATTTAAAGAGCTTTGAGCAAATTTAAAGAGCTTCAAGCACATTTGAAGAGCTTCAAGCACATTTGAAGAGCTTCAAGCACATTTAAAGAGCTTCAAGCACATTTAAAGAGCTTCAAGCACATTTGAAGAGCTTCAAGCACATTTAAAGAGCTTCCAGCACATTTAAAGAGCTCCAAGCACATTTAAAAAGCTTCAAAACCCTTTTTGAGGCACCCCAAGCACTTTTGATGTGCTCCAAGCACTTTATAAAATACTTTGGGGGCTTGTGCTTGCCAAGCACAAAGCACTTTGAGGGCTTTGTGCTTGTGAAGCACTTTTGAAAATAAAAAGGAATTTGTGCTTGAAATTGAAAGCACTTTGAGAAAGGGCTTAGGGCTTAGTGCTTCAAGCCCTTTCACTGAGGGCTATGCCCAGCTCTGCTTCTGTGGCAAGTGTTGATGACAATAAAGTTCAAATTATAGACCTCTTCAGGGTAAAAACATTTCAAGTTGCTGGATTTGATTGTGAAAACGCAACTGCAAACTCTGCCATTAGATCTTAAATATTGCACCAGTGTTGCAGTTTGAACTCGCCCCAGGTTTGGCAAATAAATAACTGTATTCCTTTTACCCGTTCAGCTACTCGGAGCTACTATGTCAAAAGCGTGAACGTTTCTTTTAAGTGCGTTAAAGCACTCGAGTCGCTCATAGTAGTCTTACCTTGCGTTCGGTATTTTGCTCAAAGTGTAGAGCGAGCTGAGCGGAGCCGTAATCACGTGACCAGCGAGCGAACGGAGCAGTTGAACGCATACCCCTTTCCACTGATCAACCAAATTTGCGGGGGGGGGGCAAGAAGCCCTTTTAGGTAATGTTAATAGTTGTATTCCTTTCAAGAGTTTCAAACACTCGAGCTACTAGCTCCGGTGTTCAGTCGCCCCCGATTTGCAGGGAACAGATGCGTGGTGCAACAAACACTTTTCGAAAGGAATTAGCGCGTGAAGCCCCGGAGCTGTAGTAGGTACTATGCTGTCTCCCGAGATGTGCAGCAATAATTCCAATAATGCCCTCTTTGAAAAAAGTACTTATACTTCATGATCCTTAAATTTATAAACAACTTCTTCAATAAAATTTTGAATTTTTGGTTACTCATTATCCCTGGCAAACATTGTATATAATGATTCTTCCTCTTCATCACTGTCTCTCGAAGAAGATAAAAAATATAGAATTTTATCAATATCGATATCCATAATTTTTTTGGTTTGTTTATACCATAGACATGTTTAATACACAGATTTTTCGGCACTTTACGCCATTTTTGTTGTACTCTGACATTGGCACGAGCTCTCTGACCTCGTGCTGGAAAAGTTGCACGAGGGCAATAATTGATTGCCCTGGTTTTCCAATAGAACATAAAAACCCGCTCGAGAACTTCCAACAGAACATAATTTTTGCATGAGTTTTACCAACAGAAAACGCTATGAATTATTCTGAATTGTGTGTTTTGGAGTGACTCCGAGGAGCTCTAGAGCGACACGTTCGGTGTGTTCAATCTCCAGTTTCAGTTTCGACAGCTTACAGTTTCACAAATCACAAATCACAACAGACAAAAAAATTGTCTAGTCTGTAGCTATTTATTTTTTGTTGTTTAATTATTTACAGTTTGTTGTAAAATGGCAAATAAGGATAAATACGACAGTTATTTATTTTCATAATATTGGTTAAGCTGCTTAAATAGGGTTAGTAGTTATGAAAAATTTACAGGCAACAATTTCATGATATTGGCAGCTCTTGGGATTAGAAATCTGGAAATCCCAAAATGGCACAACAAAATCCTCAACCCTTTGAAACCCCCATGTTCAGAGAAATTCACAAAAATACATGGCTCAAAAAGATATCTCCTAGTAACCCTAAGAAGGTTTGTATTGCTAGAATATTTTTCATAAATATTGAAGAATCTACACATTTGCTATTAATTTATAGAAACGAGAAAAACTATGGGTTGTTTTTTGTGTCCACGATGATACAGAAGCATATCTAGAAACCTATACTGATAATAAGTTAGCTGTCTTCCATAAACCAGAGTGGTTTGTTTCCTTAAATAACGTCCAGCACATATCCCCAACAATATGTGCTCAAGAACAAGAGTATGAATTTGTTTTAACATTAACTTCAGAAGTCATTCGTTTGGCAGCTCCTACCTGGGAACAAATGCTAGACTGGGTTGAAGGTTTAAAATCGAAACTTTCTGAACTGAGAATTTTAAGCCCCAAAGAAAATGTTTATACAAAACTGCCTGATAGACCCATCATCTCCTTACTCCCTACAAGGGATCCTACTTCCCCCTTACCACCACCTCCAGAAGTTCCGACAGAAGCCTTACCAGGAATTGAAAGATCCAATAGTGAAGTGACAGCTAATAGACAAAGAGAAAATTCCACATATCAAAGACGAAGATCTGAATCTCAAAGTAGTGCAATTTCGAGAAGGGCGAACAATATAAATGAACCACAAAGTGCAGAAGCTAGTTCTAATCAAGTATTCAACTTTGATCCATTTAATTGTGCTCTTGAAGCTACAGGATCTTCATCAGGAAACAATGTACATTATGAACACTTGTTTCAACCAGGTAAGCACCTATCTGATCCAGTAGACTTGCTAATTTTAATTTTGAACGTCACATACCCACTGGTTGTGGCAAAAAATCCTCCGTATCCTGTTTGTGTGTAACTACTGTAACTATTGTTTCAAAAGAGATGGAACCCAAATAATTTCATGAAGGGTTTTTTAACAGATTTTCAACACTTTGATTCACAGTAAATAGATTGTGATACATCAGTTTTTAAAACAAGAATATACGTACATTAGAAAAAAAATCCTCCAAAAATGCTAAAATCCTTTTTTTTAGGTCCGTCCAATAGAAACGATGAAATAAGACAAATTGTTAGAACTGAACCAAGTGTAACTAATAGACTATTAGAAAGATCAGCTAGTTGTTCTCCTCGAATATTAGAGGCAGCACCACAGCCTTTTAAGACTTTAAGGCAGCAGCAAGTATTAATGTTAGAAAAAGAAATGAAGCATCCAACAGGTGTTAGAGTGCAGCTTAGAAAAAAAGACTGTATTAGTTCAATTGGGTTTGTAGATGCTTTTGATGCAGTATGGTGAGCAATAAGGACTCATAATTTGATTCTTATCTTTACTTAATTAACTCTTTAGGGTTTGTGGCTGGAAGCAGAAAGAACATCCAATGCTATACAATGCACTTCACATTGGAGACTGTCTTGTCAACATTGAAGGAATATCTGTGAAGTCAGCAGCAGATGCATATAAAATTTTGCAGTCACATTATTGTGGGCTCTATGTAAGTGCATATTATATTATGGCTATATACTTTCTAATTACTAAATTTTCTTCTGACTAAACATCTAGCTCGTTAATTACATACGTTAAGTATCAACCTAAAGTAGCAATAGATCAGTCTGTATGTTAGTGCATCCTTGGTATACCAAATTTTGTCAAGTTCTGATTTCAGAGGTCTGTAATGCCACAAAAAAAGTGATTGGAGGTTGAATTAGTGGCAAAAAGATGACACTGATAGGAGACAGGAAACGGTTTTCAAGCACAAAAATATACAGGTCAATTTGGGAATCCTTTTTTTTTTAATCTATTTATGGGAAAACCCTATTAACAGGTTGACTGCAGGCCATATTTTTGAGTCATTCTCGGACGCTGTTAAGTTATATTCTTTTTTGGACAAATAAATTTAGAAAGACGCCGGAGCGGCTGCGACATTCTCTTGCAGACGACGCCTACTGGATATTAGACTTACAAATTAGGCATTCACAACACTCCGATCGGAGTAGTTGGTGTCGACGATTGATGCCAGTACACTCCGATCGGAGTTGCCGGCAGTCAACCTGTTAACAGTTTTACAATTAACAAAATATAAAGTTATGAATATAGATTAGACATAAAAATCATCCAGACTAACTAAAACAACCCCTCTTGATACCAGCCCAATTAAGTATAGTAAGCAAAATCACAACCATTGTTAACAAAAAACATGCAACTTTCATTATATTATAGGATATCACTTTCAAATAAAAATAAAAATGATTGGTAGGCTGAACAACATTCTAGACGATTCGGTCAAACTTAGAAGTTAGTTTTTTCTTGGACAAAATCGTGATTTGCATTCAACTCCTTCTTCTTGATAAATAAAAACGCCATTATTTTATGTAATTGATGCTCAAGATTGAGATAGAGAATTGTTTTATAGATTGTAGTAAAATTATTCTGATTATTTTCAGGTGAATATCATTGTAAAACGAGTACCTCATGGAAAAGTATTTGTAATACACAAAGAATCGGAAGGTCAATCCTTAGGTATAATACAAGAAAACAATACGGCAGTTATTGAAAGTGTGCAAACAAATAGTTTGGCGGCCAGGCATGGTTTGACGTCCAAAACAAAGTCATGTGATGGCACAAGCTTCACAAACTGGGTACTTACTGAAATAAATGGACGACCCTTGAATTTATTTTTTAAGAAAAATCAGATTCGAGATAGGCTTAATTGTGTTGGTAGGGACATTTCAGTTCTTGTACAACCCTTAGATCTTATAAAACAGCTTAAGAAACAAATGAAATCACTTAGGAACTATAAAGACTATATATTACAATGAGAATAAAGATCTGATCATCTGGATTATCTATTTGTGATAAGTAATTTGAAAACTTTCTATTTTTGTTTGGGCAAAATCCTAGATGTTTAGTTAGGTTTTATCCAACTCCTACTTCGCAAAATGGGCAAGTACCTACCTGTCACTATTCTGTGGTCCGATTTTTCAGATACATTACATGACAGAGTATTTTAAAAATGATTGCACCTGTTTTGTTCTATGTAATAGTGAAATAGCACCCTGCTGTGATTTTTTTTTAAAAATTAAATTGAGTTTTGGTATGTACACATGGTGAAATTAAAATGGTGTAAATAAGTACTTAAAGAAATGGAAAAAAAACAAGCATGGATCTATGATCTATGCTATGTGTTCGCCAATAGACCTTTTCAAATTAGAATAATTCTATTACGCATGCGCAAAACATTGTTGCCAAGAGTCGGTTTCTATCACTCTATACAGGAAAGAATCATGAATAATTTCGATTTCATTAGAACTGAGATTCAATTTCTTTATTATTAATTATCCTAATATTTGATGCAGCCGAGGACTCAAGCTATTTATTGAAAAGATATATTGATTGTCATTTTGTGAATTTTTTTTTTTTTAAACCTAACGCGCTTCAATTTGTACAAGCCGGCAACATCGCACAATTTCACTGTCATTTTTTCAATCAGCTGATTATTGTTTTGCGGTCCATGTTACACGTTTTTGCATGGGAAAATATTGGAAAAACCTGTTTAAAAATTAGTAAAAGCGATGGGGCACACAAATATTGTGTTTTTGGAAAATTAATAGTGACAGCAGAGTTGGTAGGCCCGGATATTCCGAGGGATTAATTTTTTACTGCTTTCCCTGGCCATGTCTTCAACATAACTTCCTTTGAAGTTCTAATACGCTATTTTTTCTCTACAATCTCAGCACGTAAAATTTCACCCGGCACATCTGCTGCTGATAATTTAACTTTTTTAAAAGGCATCTGGGCCATTTTAAATTGGAAAAGGTATTAATTACAACTTTTCTATAATACTTGCTATGCTTTTTGGACCGCAAAACAAACAGCCAACATAACCCCACTTATTTGACGCGCAAGCGCGTTGTGGACCTTGAAAAGGTCTATTACCACATTTGTGCTTCTCGTTAAACCGTTTTAACAGAAAACGTTTTGCTAGCAAACGCTTGTATAAACACCCCATAAACCGTTTTATCTCGTTGAACCGTTTTGATATAAAACGTTTTAAAAACGTGTTTTAAGCAATTTGAAAACGGTTTAAATACTGCGTAAACATCTCATAACGTTTCAAGGGAGTGCCAGCACTGCTTGTTATGACATTTAAAAACTGTTTTGGGGAAAGCCCTATAGAAGTATAATCACAGGATAAACGTTTTAAGATCGAAAACGTTTTAGCGGTTTGTCAAAACGGTTCAATGGAAGCATAAACTTGGTAAATCGAAACTAAATAACCTGCAGTTCCATACTTCATGTTTATTAGACAAAATTTACAGTTTATGCACAATGATGCTCCACTGTTTGTTAGCCGAGTGGCTGAATAAAACTTTCCAAGATGTTGGATTGGTAAGAATTACCCGAATATAGCATGGTGCCGTCGTTCTCCAGACTTAAAGACTATGGAGTTTTCTTTCTGGGAGCCATGAAGGATCCCTGTGCTGTACCAATCAGAGCTCGCGAACAAAGACAAGAGCGAATCCTTGCCAGGGTTGAAAAAATTAGACAGAGATACTCAACATTCATGAGGAAATACGTCAAAATTTTGTAAAACCTCTGTGGGAGTGTGGGCAGGGTGATGAACAAAACGGTTCACATTTTGAACACTTTTCATGGAATTGGTCAGTGCTATCTAACTTTTTCTAATTAAATCTAATTGTGAGAATCGAAGTGTTGACTTCACAAAGAAAAATTTGAAACTGTAATGAAATGGTTTTTATGTTTATTTTTTTATTCACAATTTTTTTCATAGAATGTAGGTTTTGATTAGGGGGAAATAGATATGGCCGCATTTATAATGCCATCTCCTGGCGATTCTTACTTAAGTAAACATATCCCTAATATTCATACAAATCTCAATATGCATGCGAATGCATTTTGACATTTTTCTCAAAAATGTTTAGCTTTAGGTTTTTTTTAAGAATCTGACCAAATATTCTTGCATTTATTACCGGATCTCCTGTATATTATACCGGGTGTCAACGTGATCGCTTTCGCTCTGGCATTGTTTATTTCTTTTCCGATCGAAATGAATTTCGGTGTAGAGTTTAACTTTGGCAAATGTCATCTTTTGACGCATGTGTAAAAGTCTTGCAACTTCCAGTTCTACCGGAACTGATCATAGCTTCAATAATCTAAATGGCAACCTAGTATTTTTTTGGTAGTTTTCAAATCTTGGGATCATTCTGTATATGGAAATACCAAATTTGAAGCTGTTTGACGAAGTTTGAAAATTTTAAAACGAAATTTGTTTTTGATTTGAGACTGCCAGGATTTGCTCGAAACTATTTATTTTGGTACATAACACTGTAGACACATGGAAATGGGTTGTTTTCACTTATCATTTGTCTGCCAAATGTTTTCAAAGTCGGCAAAATCGTATTTTATGTGATAACTTAATAAAATTAAATGAAACCACCCTACTTTCACATCTAAGATTGATAACTTGCTTCAAAATAAAGCTAACGAAGTATTGAAACTTTATGAAAAAAACCCATTTTTAGGTTATAAATTTTCTTCAACTTTCAATTTCAACAGTTACAAAACAATATCGACAAGCCCTGGTATCAGGAATGGCAAGAAGCTGGTGGTCAATGTTGTCTTAACAACTCATAATCAGGAAATCAATTTTTTTGTCAATGTTTGTCAAATATTATTTTTTATTTACGTAATTAAAGCAAATTAAATAATGTTTACGAAAACCGAGCAAGTGGATATTTTAATTATCTATGGACAATGCGGTAAAAATCAGAGGCAGCACGCGTTTATAGGGAAGAGTTCCCGGAGCGTCTCAATTATCCCTCTAGGCAGTACGTAACATTTTTAATTAGACAAATGCGCCAGGAGCCTGAAGACCCTCCAGAAAATGTCATTATTAGCGAAGAAATGGAAGTAAATGTGGTGGCTTTCGTAGAGATGAACTCTACTGCATCTACCAGAGAAATTGGCCAAGAACTTGAAATAAGTCACGAATCAGCATGAAATTTTTTAAAAAAACATGGATATAAGGCATTTAAATATCAACTTCATCAAGCCTTGCACGACGATGACTTTGAAAGAAGGTTAGCTTTTTGGGCTTTTTGTAATTGGTTTATCAGAACTGATAATAATCAAAACAATAATCTTGCATGATCAATTTTATATTCCGATGAATCCCGATTTACGAATAATGGAATGTTTAATAGGCAGAATACTAGATATTGGTTAAGAGAAAACCAGTAAGAATGAACCAGGGCAACTTTCAGGAAAGGTTTGGAGTTAATGTTTGGGCCGGAATAATCGGAACGAGAATTGTGGGGCAAATACTCTTTCGAGGGCGGTTAACTGGGTAAAGATATCTTGGATTTCTTCGGAATGAAATAGAGGAATTCCTAGAAGGTTTGCCTTTGGGAATTGAGAGGGATATTCACTTTGAGCAAGATGGAGCCCAACCCCACAATGCTTATGTAGTGAGGGATTACTTAAGGGAACGCTTTGGGGACTATCTTATGGACCGATAGCGTGGCCACTTCGTTCCGCAGATCTCACGGCTCCTGATTTCTTCCTTTGGGGATATTTGAAAGATAGGATATACACAACACCTCCACCCTCTTTGGACGTTCTTCAGAACCGTATTCGTGAGGCGTTTACATCTATAACTCCACCGATGCTAGAGAATATTATAAGGGAAAATGTTTTTCGAGTTAGGCAGTGTAGAGGTCCTGCGTTTTTATACTCGTCTAATTTCACTGATGGAACCACCATATTCCATTCACATCGTTGATGTCACCGATTAAAATAAAAACATTCAAAACGTTAAACTCGCTTTGGTGACAGTCGCAATTTATGTTGCCATGTCAGGATGATAGGACCAAAATAAATGAAAGACTAATTATAAGCGTGAGGAACACTCTTTTGTACGCTGAGGAGCGTACGAAAAACTCCATTTTCAGAGGCGGTTGTAGAAAAAAGATTGATCCAACGTAAATGGACGTCATAACGGTTCAGGTCAAGTCAAGTAACGACTTGCGTTAAGTAGTGAAGCAAGGAAAGTGAGTTTGCACAGTGGACAAGTAGCTTGAATTGACTGTCATCCTTACTACCACTTTTATCACTTGCTCCTTTACTTGACCATTTATTTTACCAATGTTCAAATGAGTCAAGTTTAGCTAAAGTTTAGTTAAATAAAAAAGGGGTGGTTTCGCCATGTTGAATCGACTTGCGCCCCTACTTAACTACACGCGTTTGCTTTTCTTGTTGGTGAGTCAAGTCAAGTAGAACATAACCAGGCAAGTGAAAGACAAGTTATTTGACTCGTGTAAACAAGCCTTAAATAATTAATGCACCTTGAATGACAAAAAAATATTGCCTGTCAGTGGACTTTCACGACAACATTAATTGCTACCAGCTTCTTGCCATTCCCGATACCGGGGCTTGTCGATATTTTGGTAACTTATCAGATTAAAAGTTAGAGAAAACATATTAAAAATTGGTCTTTTCAGTAAGTTTCAATACATCGTTAGCTTTATTTTGAAGCAAGTTATCAATTTTAGATGTGAAAGTGGGGTGGTTTCATTTAATTTTATTAAGTTATCACATAAAATACGATTTTGCCAACTTTGAAACCATTTGGTAGACAAATGATAAGTGAAAACAACGCATTTCCATTTTGATACAGTTATGTGAGCCAAAAAGAACAGTTTGACGCAAATTCTGGCAGTCTCGACTCAAAAACAAATTTCGTTCAAAAATTTTCAAACTTCGTCAAACAGCTTCAAATTTGATATGTCCATATACAGAATGATCCCAAGATTTGAAAACTACTAAAAAAATACTAGGTTGCCATTTAGATTTATGGAGTTATGGTCACTTCCGATAAAAACGGAAAATTGCTAGACTTTTACACATACGTCAAAAGATGACATTTGCCAAACCCAAACTCTACATCAAAAGTGATTTCGATCGGTTGGATATCGTTGACACCCGGTATAAATATAGACAGTTTGTTCAAAATAAGAAAAGGCAAAATAACTAATTCATTGTTTACAATAGGTATAAAAAACCAAGTAAAATACCGTACTTAAAAAAAGAAAACTCATTCTAGAAATGGCCGAGAAAATGTTGCTTACTCTTATTTTTTGATCGCTGCATTATTTTTGGCTGGCGATTGACTCTTCACATTGTTGGTTTTCGCCTTTTTAGATTTTGGTTCTTCCTCATCCTCTTCTTCGGCTCCTTTTTCCCCTTGTTTTTATTCATGATTTCTTCCGCTATCTCATCTAGTTCGTCAAATTCTTCGATTGGACCGCCAATCAAATGATCAAAGGAAAGGGCAATTTTCATATTATAGAATATATGAACACAGGGCCTTTTCCTTTGATCAATGAAAATGTATCTCGAGGATGTGGGATACGCAAATCTAGGGAAACTTGACTACTGCATCCACCAGCTTTCAAAATAGCTACCTACTGGAACTTTGTTGGCCTCTTTCAATGATATTGCATCCTCTTGCACCAGTTCACCTTCAGAGGCATCATCTGCCAAAAGTTTATGGCCCCTTGAAGTGAAAGAGGCCAGTGCTGACTGGTATTTGTCATTACTCTCGTCTTTCGCTTGTAGGGGGAACGTGAACTTGTACTAGATTATCCATGCTTGGATAAGGGTTTTTTGGGTCTTCTAGAGTCAATGAGAAAAATACCCGTCGGCCCTTCCAATTAGTGGCTGAGAATAGATTTTTCTTCGATTTAAAGTTGTAGTGCGTAGATCCTAAACGAGAGCACAAACTGAGAAAAATACCTGGCATCACACCCTCAAGCTACCCACTTCACATAAAAAAGGTGTAAGCAGAATAAAGCACATGGCGCACGCCACTGGTCAATACTTGTTTCAAATCAAAGTGATTGAGCTTGTGTAGCAAGTAAGATGCTGATGCTACCCAATAATTTTTTACATAAATGTTTTCAATAATAATAGCTCACAGTAAAAAAGGAATTATTGTGTTTGAGAAGGTATAGAATTTTTTTTCTGCAATTGCTTAAACAAATGGTTTTGTTTCAAATGGCAGAGATATACGAATTTTTGCTATAACTTAGGGCTCGGATTATTATTGCATAGAGTTTTCAGATATACATATTCTTTATTGCTCTGAACAAAATTTTCTTTAAAATACGAAAATCGCAAAACTAGTAAATCAACAATAATTTGTTGAACTTAATAATCATAAGAAATATATAATTTGTATATTTTCAATGACCTCTGTAGCAACAGTTGATGTGATTGGTCCAAGTAATATTATACAATTTTATTTGAAATAGAATACTAGTCTTCACAATAGGTTTTATAGTTCTTATGTTTTTAATTATAGATGGATGCTTTAAAAGAAACATATCATATTTAAATTAGAAATAGATTTAACTGTACCTACAATACATAGTAGTTATTATTTTGTACTTTGTCACTATATGAGAATATGTAAATGTAGGTCTGTACCAACACAATTAAAATGAAAAGCGAACGACCCATCGCTATTTACATTTGCGTCGTTTGTGTTCAGATAATTTTATTGAGAAATTAAAATTATTCTGACTTCGTAATGACATTAACACCACAGTGATGAAACTTTGAGAATAGCAAATTTGGAATTCTTCTCCATGACTTTTTGAAAACGCATTTTTCATTTGATAAAAAAAATCTTGGGGAAACCTGGTGACAAGCTATTTTTAAAGCATATTCATACTTTTGTAGTGAGTAATCTAGGGCGATCAAAAAAATGTATTTGTAGAAATGTACATCATAATAATTATATTTTTAGATGTTTTAGTTTTAGTAATAACCATGTTCAAAATTCTGTGCAATATACACCAACAATGAAAGATTATATTGAATAAAGCCTGAGTACTATACTTAACTGTGATTATTTTTGTACTGTGTAACAAAATAAAAGACAATAAAAAAACAAAAGTTTTTGATATTTTTAACCCACATTTACATTATTACCGCCAAAAAGAAATGAAAGCCAAAAAACATCATTTTGTATAACCGCCGTGAAAGCTTTATTTACTAATTTAAAAACATATCAGAGATTTTAAAATAATAATAGGTGAGAAATGGGATGTTTTAAAGATAAATAACATAATTATCCTAAATCATTAGGATTACTTATTTTGCCAGCGAAAATAACGCTCCTACTTAGTTTGTGAACAATGAAAAATACAAATGGTCGGTTAGCTTTCACAATAGGAGGAGGTGTTCTGTTCTCAAATATAGCACCTATGAAATAAAAAAAAGCTAGTAGTACATAAGTATGTTTTTTTTTTAAAAGGATTTATGTAATTACCTGCTGCTGCAGTTGCTATTGTTCCTAATTCATCAACTTCAATTTCAGCCTTTTGAATGAATCTGGATAGGTATAAATATTGTTTAAACATTCCTAATAAATTTGCTCTTCTTGGGTCAAAAATATCTGTGATACCCATCTGCAAATAATTATTTCAATAAAAAGAATCTTTTTGCCTGTCTTACTTACAGCTTGCAAAACTACATCGAGATTAAAATCAGAAGTAACTTTAAACTTCGGAAGATGCACGTGAATATTATCATCGGGAAACTTCTTGGAATTCGATTCAAGACGTTCCAAAATATCTGTTATTGATTCTCCATTTAAGGAATTTAACATATTGATCACAGTTTGGTCACCCCTTGGTACTAGTAGTAACATAGAAAATGTATCGTCCTAGAAAAACAAATGTTACCTACCAATTATTCAGACTCCAGTTACAAAAAAAAACGATGGGCAACTAAACTCGACACACAACCAATGACTGGAATGGCGTGAACTTGGCGAGGCTTGGTATGTGGGTACCTACTTATATTGAGAAATAGTGAGAAAATTCTGAAAGATGATGAGATGAGAGTCGGAGAATATTATAAATTTTAACAAACACAAATGCCAAATGAAATGGGAGTCATGAACATTTTTTTAAGATTAACCTGTTACTTCGTTATATGCTTATGGTGCTCAGAAATCCCCAGGTAGTTCTTTTGAGCCGTTGGGAGACTGTTTTTTTTTTCTGGCAAAAATGACATTAAGAAGATTGAGAAGGCGCTACGAAAGAGGACGAATTAGTACGAACTCCCTACAAAGACAATTAAACCTGAACTAGCCAAAACCAAGACGCCAGGGACCTTATTCTTGAATCAGGGGAGCAGAGTTCCCAAGAGAACGAGTGTTCTGTTTTTGTTACTTATATTATCATTTGCATATCATTGAGAAAGACGGAACACTCGTTCTCCTGGGAACGCTGCTCCCTTGTTTCAAGAATAAGGACCCAGTCATGAGCATTGACTGGTTCACAGTAACCCGGTGACTTAGAAAAAACAGGGTGAACATCGACGATTGCCAGACTGTTGGGAAGAAAGTCATTAGATCTGGAAAAGAGTGCTTATTTTACATACCAGATGCCAGACAAGAAATAGAGGACCACGAGATCATAGATACCGAAATATAGACAGGAAATAAGAATTTGGGACCTCGAAAGTCTTAAGTTACTGAACGTCAAAGTTGTGCCAAAGATTCGCGTGGAGCATCCACTAAAGATTTCCTGGAAGGTCAGGGAACTCCGATCTCGGAAACTTGAGACCAGACATGACATAATAGCAAACCATGATGACTGGTATACAGAGGATAAGCGACGTACCTCGGAAGCAGGCCAATAGCTAGGGAAGAAGTAGCCATTCTGATCAAAAAAGGACTAGATCACACCTTTCTAGGAATGTTAGAAATCATGGAGATAGATAGAAGCTGTAACCATTGAAGTTGAAATAGTCAGATAGGGAAGGTGGAAATAACTTCGGCCTAGCGAGGTACCTTCCAAAAATCTTATTTTGGAAGATGATATCCAGGATCTACTACAAGGAAAAATTCCCTGCATCATTGGACATCTCAGCATTAAATCTTCAGTCTGAACTCCAACATTAGCGATGCGAAGGAAGATAGACTAACGGAATACACAATAGCAATATCATCCACTATAATCGGATCGGAACGGCCGATCTGACTACCTTCTGACCAACAGTACTGGACATGTGGGAGAAGGCTTCCAAATTGAATCAACTGAAGATAGTTCCTCACCATCGAAAATAGATTTCGACAAGAACACACCCCAACTCTACTGACTAGATGGAATCGGATTTGAGGACAAGATAGTCATTCCACATACGGTTGGGACATTGTAGGCTATCATCTTGGAAACGCACCAAGAACTCTCATCATCAGACCAATGAGGAGACGACCAGATGGCGAACTTCCCAGGGGGTAAAAGGCCATGATAACTGTAGACGGGAGACTCCGTAGAGCTTGAAGAGAAAAAGGATTGCTTCAAATCAGCACCGCTCAAGTCAGGATTAGTAGAAGGAAGTGGAAACTACAAGAAATAAAGAAACGACCCCTCTGCCTAGAAAGGCAGAAGCGATTAGTAAGCCAGAGGACAATCATGCCCCTGTTGCAGGGACGCAACAGGCTGGCTTACACAACAAGGCAGAAGCATTGGCGAGAGAATGACAGCGCAACGAGCATCCAGACTATTTCAGACGAAGGTTATAATCGTGAGATTGAAATTGAGCGAATAGCAAGAAGACTACGTAATACAGTAGGTATTTAATAAGATGGTTAAACAGATGCCCAGACAAGTCGTGCTGACTCTTGCAGCAGAAGACGGAAAGGTCCTATGGAACTGCCTTTTCATATAAAACTATCTTCTCATCGGCCTCTTCTTCTCCCCTTCGGGCAAGGTAACAGAGAAAGCTATTAATTCCAGTACAGGTAACTGAAGACCTGGAATTGATTCCAGAAGAACACTTAAGATTCAGAGGACATTCGACTGAGTTGCAGGTGCTCAGAATAGTCGAACACGCCCACAATAAGTTTAGGTGGAAGAAGAGAACTTACTAGATGGCGAATCAGAGTCTGGCATGACAGGCTAATTCAATAGATAATTCAAGCTGGCTGTCAAGCGAAGGATTGGAAACGGATTACTTGGCAGGTACCTATAGGACCTTTGCCGTGAAGATTCGCAAACTACCGCTCAAGTACTAGAGAACTGAAAACCGGTGTTCCTCAAGGGTGGGCGCACGCACCTCACGTGTACAACGAGAATTCAGTGAATAATTGACTAGACAGACCACCAATTATTTTTCCAATTTCAGATATCTCTTAGAGAATTTCAAGTTCCAGGAGGCTTGAGCACTACTTTTTGCCAAGAGAAAACTACTAATATTTCAGTGCCGACATATAGCAGAGACACATTTTGAGAGAGGATTCAACCATCATAGGCCCCATTGTATCCCGAATGCTTCACTCTCCTATCTGAGAATGTCAAATTCCATCAGGATTTAACCCCACGGTCGCGAATGTGAAGGCAGTATGCTACTGGGGGCAAGTCCTACAATAAATTGTTCCTCGAGAACAAGATTTTTGAAAAATGGCTCCATCTATACCAAAAAAAAAATATTAGCAATATTTGACAAGACTGTATTTTACTGAATATTGAAGTCACAACTAAGTAGTTGTTGTCGGTTGGCACCTTGAGAAAAAATATGATGTTTTTAACTTACAAATCCGTAGGGTAGTTCAACAATATCGGCTCTAATATTATTATGTCTAAGATAAGGAAACGGATAGACTTGGTACATTAACTGTACTTCTCCAACTTGGTTTTTATTTTCGTCAAAAAATGGACTTCTTCGAGTAGCTGACCTATTGAAAGGTATTTGCCACACTCCTTTGAAGTATGCAGTACTAGTCATGAAGAGATAGGCATTTTGGACATCACCTACAATTATTATATTTCAACAAATATTTTCTATAAGTTTATTATACCAAATGCACCATTCCTTACCTGTATTAATCAGATTTGTTATTCTATTTCTGGTTGTCTTTGCTACATATTTATTGATAATATTGGTTGCTCCCTGATTATCGTTTTTAAAGTCAACAGGTACAACATTAGTGTTATAAAATTCTTTTACAATATCTGAATATATTTGTCTAACAGGAAACTCTTTTCTTGAGAATATTCCATTTGAAGTTTCAAACTCTGCTTCTTTTGATTTTACCTATAAAAAAAGTATGTTTTTTTTGTAATGAATTTACGTAAATGCATGTCATAAGTTTTGTCACAAAAATATTTTAAGGATAGCAAATTTTTTGTACAAATTATTGTATTCGTGCTGCTCCAGGATACCTATATTTTCTTTTTGTAAGTACACACACCCGGCAGATCTAGTTTCTTATCCTCAATTACATACTTGGACTCAACTTTCGTATAGAGGAAAAACAAAACAGCACCTTTGTTTAATTTAATTAGTTGGAAATTTCCAATTTTGTTTCAACAGAAAGCGGAAATCTGGTATAGAAATACCAACCGTAATTCGACTTGGTAATTGTTTACCATTTTGGCAACGGTAAAGGCTGTGGTAAAGGTCATTTGGCTTTTAAGGGCAAGATTAAAGGGTGTCAGCTTTTTGATTGCAAAAATTGCTTCAGGATAGTGTTTTGGCGACAGATTAGTAGTCACGTAAAATGTATAAGCATTTTCAAAAATTGAAATTATACTGAATTCCTAACAAGTGCGCAAAGTGTTACTTTTCCGTACGCAAACACAGTTATACGAACAACGCGAAGCGGAGTTCGGATAAGTTTTTGCGTGCGGATAAGAACCTTTGCGCACGTGTTAGGAACAAACTTTTTCCTACGAGTTTCCAGGTATCAACAAAAATTTTAAAAAACGATAATTTGTTCAATCATTTTTAATTAAACTTGAAGCGAACCTATTCATCAAAAAATTACATAACAAAAAAAAAAAAAATAACAGAAAATCTTCCTCAGACCTGTTCATTTTACTACCCTTTAAATTTGATGAGAAAGATGTTTGTAGACTCTTGCATATAAATGGCGAACAAATCTGTCATTATGTGTCAAAGTCGACAGGTGCACTTATTATTGCCTGTTATACTTTTTGCCACTCAGTGCGGATAAAGACCTTATGCGCACGGAGTGCGGAAAAGTGTAACTTTGAGCGCGGAAATGCTTGCGGAAAAATAGGTACTACTTTGCGCACGCTCTTAAAAGATCTTTATGGATAAATTAGAGCCATAATGATACTGACTGGTGATATCAGATATTATTTATTGATCTGTGACGAAAGTTGAGGAGTACGTATTCCAAAGTTTGCGGGGATTTTGTCAGGGGTAGCTTTAGCATCTGAATCTAATTAAAAAGAAAAAAACTTAGGTAGGTACCTAACTGATTTCCGTTTGCGTGTCCGAAAAATGAAAACGGTGTTCTGCAGAAAAGAATATGTTTTTTTTTATGTTCAAAAAGAATTTTGCTTTTTTAAAGCTTTTCGGAAAATAGAAAGAATGCATTTACGCAGAAAAAAAAGCTATTTCTTCTGTATTGGTAAGTGTCTTGTAATGACAAAAAATATATATTTAACTGATTTCCGCTGTTTTCATGTCGTGGTGCCACAGCTCTGATTCTATCTGGCTAGTTTCGTGACAGACCGAAACCTATTTTATGCCCTGCCTAGGTGTAAAAAGCCTTGGTCGTCCAGTTTCCAGGAGATCCAAAAAAGTTTGAAATACATTCCTAGCTGATAAATCTTGGTTTTGGAAACCACATACTAAATAAAGCATTGGACATCAACCTTCTTTTTCGTAAAGTAGGTATCAAATGAAAATTTACAAATAAATGTTCCAGGATAGTTCCCAGAACTTTCTTTATAAATTTCATAAATAGGTGTCTCATGAAAGCCCCTTGAATTTTTGATCAAAACTTAAGAAACATACATTATGGAGATGATCATCGATATAGTCTATAATAAATAGTACTTGAAGTTGTACCACCTTACTTTAAACTGGCTAATTAGATTATTATAGGCTTTCCTAACTACACTTTTATTTGGTGGCTGTTGTAGAACCCTGTCTATTTGGTCTGCTGTGGTTTCTTGGGCACCCTCTGATGCTATTGTCAGTAAGGTCCATATTGTAAGCGGTGATAAAGCTATATTAACGTTGCCACCACCTTCCTTATTCACATCCTGAAAATACCTCTTTAAATTAAGGATTATCAATATAATTTTAAGCATAATACTTACGGCTAATAAATTAATCGAAAATTTATTGATTGAATGTTCGATATTAAATTTGCCTTGTAGAAAGACTGGCGTGGTCAAATATAACACTATTGCAGCAACTGAAATTATAGATACCTATATACTGTTAAGTATTTTTCAAGTAGGCAGAAAAGTTTCTTGACTCCGAAAACTATGTTTCAAAATTTAGATATTGATCTTTGAAACGGTAAAAAATAAAATAAGAAACTGCTTTTGCATCACATTGATCGATTGCTCTAAAGGAGTCGAACAGATTTCACTGCCCTAGGAAGGTGAGTTATTACTTTACCTTTCTAGGGTAGAAAGTGGAAAGTAGAGGTAATATGTACAAATAAATAACCCAGGAATATAAAGAAGTCTTAAGGGCATTTCCTTTCATTGAATTTTTGATTTTTGGATTAACTAACAAAATTGCAGAAACATCGTCCGTAGTTGCAAGTATATGCATTTTGGCAATTTTTTTTTTTTTTGTAAAAATAATTAAAATTATTACAGATGAAATTCTATTTTGATAGTGACGAGATTTTGTGCAAATTAATTGAAGATGTTAGCGATAAGAGACGAGAAATATCTGTAATAAAAGCTTTTTTTTTGTACCGAGTTCTATTTTTAGAAGAAAATCAAACTTAGGTATCCTTATTAGATTGAAAAAAAATTTGAAGTTAAGATATTTTAGTTTTTTTCTAAATACTCACAAACAACAGAAAACTTCTGACCGACTTGTACCAACTAATTTAAAATAAATTTACAAAATATGATAGAAAACCTTCTAGCTATTTTACAATGTTCCCATTAAGTTAAAAAATGTCGAAATTCGCATAAGAACTTTTTTTGGATCTAGGTAGGTATCTAAATATCAAATTGGTTTTTCATTAGGAGTGAATATGTAGCTATAAGGTAAGTAAACCTATAGTCTCAGGTGAGGCTATATTTTATAATGACAATGTACAATGTACCTACCTACCCGATGATAAAACGCAATTTTTAATAATATTATTAGGGTTCTTTGATTTTTGACTAGGTAGGTAGTAATTCTGTTTTTCAAATTTTCTAGTTGTTATAAACTGGATTCAAATATTATTATCCATAATATAGGTACTATTTCCAATCTCAATTTCAGAAAAGCAATTTTTGGCAATGCAGGAATAATTAATTTTTATTGCAAAATATAAACCAGTTCTTTTTCATTGCATGTTTATGTTTTCAAGAACCTATTTAATTTAAAAGCCATTACCTAATCGGAATACTAATAAGTACACGGTATTTTATGAAGATACTTACATAAAGAAAACTTCATGGTAACTATTCGCTGAAAAAAAAATCCAAATAAGGAAATAAACGCACTAGTTCGATTTTGCAATTTCTGGTGAATCAGGTTCTGCACGGTTGTTTTGAGTTCAACTTGATAACGGTTTCAAATCTGCCAAAGTTGACCCTGACCACTTTTATTTTGAAACAAAGCCCGTGTTGCCTTTTACTGAATGGTTGACTGCATTAAATTATATTGAATAAAGATTCACATAACCGAAATGTAGGTACCACTTGAATTCGCCAATATGTGAGAGCACCGAGTGTAAAACTAAATAAAATATTACATACAAACGTTATTTTTACTACAAACATATATAAACAACTTGGAAAAACCCCGCTATTTAATTTTTATTTATAATCTGTTGAAACAGTCTCAGAAGTTTATAGAATTTTTGTTTACTCGTTAAACTAAAACGATCTGCCAGTTTGCTTTTAATGGCCAACAATGAATACTTTTTTGGTATTTCCATTGGCGTAGCAGCAGGATATAACAATACATCATTCTTTCGCCTTTATAAATGACCTATACGCCTCCGCAGCGCACAGAATAATTTTGTGTTATGGGCCATGCACGCCAGGCGTTCACATCCACAGTTACTCCAGTACCTATTTATATATCCCAAAACTCCATAACTACTCACTAGGACTCTCTGTACCTATCTGCAGCAACCAGCAACAAAAGAGCTACAAATCTATGGTGGAGAGTTTGTATTGAGAATGATATTGCCTTGGGATGATAATTTTATAGAAAAATATGCGAATAAGACGCAATTTTCGACCATAATACGATATACAGTCAAAGATAACAGCAAGATTTTATGTAAAAGGGGAGAACTCTGTTATGACTATCTATAAGAAACAAGCATTTCGTGATGCATGCTAGCGTTGCTAGGCATTTTAGGTCTGACGCCACAAAAGGAACCCTTTTTTACAAAAATATCGCTTTTCGTAGATCTGCTGTCGATGGAGGTTATCAAATGTAGATTTCAGAATTCCTTGCGAAAAAGATTCCATCGCACATTTGTCAGTTGTATCGTTGTAGAGTGCAAAGAAGTAGGTACCAACCTACTGAAAAAATATTCATTCATTTCCACACCACCTCAGAATATTAGAGCACATATTTTTTACTTGGACATTCAAAAGAGGGTATACGGAAAAAATAAAAAATGTTAATGTCAAAGTTGATAATAACAAACATAATTTTTGATTGGCGAACCGGATCGATCCTACTACTAAATTGAAATTTCGCATTTCCTCATCGTTAAGTTCTGGTTCGGATGATGCATATTACATTCATCTTCATTCTCCATTTCTCTCATAGTTGCGGTTGCGCATAAAATATGGATTATCTCTGTACTTATGTCAGACAGAATCATCGATCTTTTCAGTAACATGGAGTACAGCGTCACTATTTTTTTTTTTTGCACTAACTAGTGTCCGCGCGCCATCACATATAATGTGTCGAATAGACACTGACAGCTAGATATATCTAAAATATTATATACAGTGAGGGGCAAGCTACTAGGTATATAGGATGTAACCTGACGAATTTGCAGGCGTCCGCATGTCAGAAAATGACAAATCGATTTAGCGCTAACCTGGCGACAACCAAGTAAAAAGTTTCTAGGGTTGTTAATAATTTTCAAAAATACGGTTGTGTTTCTCCCTGAAACCAAACGAAATGACGTCCCGGAAAATAATGAGGATCAAGAAGCCAAATAAATTATGTTGTTGGTTGTTGGCAATAGTTAACAAAACTTCAACTATTTCGACTCGTGCGCTTGCGCAGGATATTGACTCGAGTACAAAGGACGGTTAGGAGCCACAGAAAAAAAAAAGTATCGTTCGTACAAAGTAAGAAACTCCCAAAAAATTGATCCTGAGGACAACATCAGGCGAATGGATTTTTGTGAAACTGTCATTAATAAGGCAAATGAAAATCAAGATTTTCTTAGAAAAATTGTCTTTACAGATGAGTCGACATTTCAACTCCATGGTCGACATAATCCTAGTCACACCCGTTATTGGTCTAAGGAGAATTTACACAGGTATTTTGAGCTTAGAGCCCAGCGTCGTCAAAAGGTAACTGTCTGGAGCGGTTTGTGTGGATAACATATTATTGGGCCGTACTTCATGGACGCTAACTTAACTGGTCCAAAATATTTGGATCTTTTGCAACGGGCCAACGGCAGATAATTCCAGAAATTGAAAGATTATCTGGTCCTATAGATTTAATGAAATATGGTATCAATAAGATGGATGTCCAGCCCATAATACGGGTTTCATTCTGGACCATTTGAATAATACTTTTCCGAACTGTCTCATTGCTGGGTCGAGAGCTACAATACTGTGACGCTCTCCCGATCTTGCACCCAACGATTATTTTCTCTGGGGTTATTGCAAATCAAAAATGTATGGTTTTCAGGAGAATCGCGCCGTGAACCTTGAGCAGCTGCGTTTCAAAATTCGAGAAATATACCTAACTGTCACCCCTGTGATGCTAAATAATATTCGTAGAGCCTTCTATGATCGTTTAGGTCATTGTTTAGTTCAAGAAGGTGGACTGGGACTGTTTGAACATTTGCTACATTGTAGTGCAAATGGTAATCGAGCCAGGTTTTTGGGGTCAAAACTAGAATTTTTGTTTTTATTTTACTTAATTTTTTTTCGATTTTTTATGTTGAATATATTTTTAGTTTTTCCTGGATGGCTTTTTTAAAATACATGTTTTTTTTCCATAGATTATTGTTTCGGTTCCAAAAAAATCTATCTATACACGCCGTTTAATAATTATAAGTAAGTGAAGCTCGACGATACATCTAAAAGCACGGTCTAGATGCTACGTTTTGCATCAAGTTTTGTCTGCACAGTTCAACACGTGATCGATCAGGTATCAGTAACGTAACGTCTGGACCGGGCTTAAGTCTGTAAAATCATAAAACGTACTGATGTGAACCATGGTTTATGAACATCAAAGTCATCGAAAAAACGACAGCGGACCGACAGCGACAGGTGTTCAGACGGCTGCGGACGATCGTAAATTCGTCAAGTTGGATCCTATATACCTAGTAGCCTGCCCCTTACTGTAGAGCCGCATAAAGACGCTTCTGTGATAAACTCGTATACAAAGTGTTGTTTGTCATTAAATATTAGAGATTGCCTATAAACCTGTATGTCGTACTTATTGATCGAGCCCTGTATCCCCGGGGACTGGGATTTTCAAGGATGGACGTCTATGCGGGAAGGTTTTTGAATTGGACAGTAATAGGGATATAGTTTTGCGAACAGTTAAGAGTAATTTGAGTAAGCCGTAAGACGTCGTGCTCTAGAAGTTCCCGTTTTGTCGCAATTTTTGTGGTGTTGAATGAAATTAACTCTAGTATGGAAAAGTAGTCTCACTTAAGTACGACCCCGTTAACGTCCCTAACGGTAGGTGTGAGAAGAAGGATGAGTGAGCGAAAAAATGTTCGACTATAGTAATCACGAGAAAACAGACGACAACGAACACAGGAAATATGAACCAGGTGCAAATTTTATCAAAAGAAAGGAAAATAGCAGACAAGAAGGTAGGCGACAGAAAGAAGAAAAGGAAGAAAATAAAAACGACAGAGACAAAAACACGCATAACAGGTTCGCCTTCAGGAAATTTTTCAAGAACAAGAATATCAACCACAGCTAGTCAGGTCCGACACCAGAAGATTTTGTAAAAACAAGATGACAGGTGGCAGAGAAAAATAGTCCATTGACATCGCCGGTTCTATGTACAAGTGGCCAAAAAGGAAGTAAGAAACCTTAAATACCCTACAAGCAGTTTTTAACTTGAGACTTGAAAACTGGATATTGGCAGGTGCAACTCAATAAAAAATAATAAAAAGAAGGCCGCCTTTACTGCTAAAAGCGGCCTGTTTAAATTTAATGTTATGCCGTTTGAATTATGCAAAGTACTTGCTACTTTGAAGAGATTGATGGAATTAGCTTTGCTCCATGTTGGTATTTTCAAAATAAATAGAGATAGATCAAGAAAAAGTCGTGGCGGTACGAAATCGGCCTGAATGAGAGAGCAAAAAAAAAAAAAAGCTTTCTACGACTCTGCCATTATTACCGTCGTCGGTTTATCAAGGATTTTGGGAAGATCGCGAAGCCGTTACATAAACTAAGTGAGAAAAACGCTCACTTTGATTCGATTTCGGACTGTCAACAGCTTTATCCCTTGGATCAAGGCCTGTTTATGTAAGACATCGACACTTCGCAAATTGGAATAGGAGCTGTGTACTCCCAAATTCAAAACGACGGAGAAGTGATCATTGGATATTTTAGTTAATCCCTGAGAAAAGTAGACAGAAATTATTATGTCACCCGAAAGGAGCTTCTGGCATCAGACAGATCCATTGAACATTACCACAGGCAGAGCTGCGACAAGTCAGTTTTAAAAAGACTTAAATCTTAAGTCTTAAGTCATTTCTAAAATCCAAATGATTTAAATTTTAAGTCCATTCTAACATAAAATTCAAAGTACCTATTTAAGTCTTAAGTCTTTGACTTGAAGTATTTTCTCTCAAGTCAAGTCATTTCCGTAATGACTCAAGTCAGTATAATGTGGTTTAAGTCATTTTATGACTTAAATCCTTTAGTAAGTCATTTTAATGACTTTAGTCTATAAGTATTTTTGATTTAAATTATGATGAACTGACTGAAATCAAAAAATTTGACTCAAGTCAAGAAAACGAGAATTCAATTTAAGTACCTTTTTCCAAAATAATATCAATTTTTGATTAAATTTGATAAAATATATGAAAAATCTGATTTAAATATTTTCTGAAAATATCTAAATATTTTATAAATTACTTAAATAATTTATAGACTGCAGCTTTTTATAAAGACTTAAATCTATTTTTTGACTTAAATCGTTTCTAGATGACTTAAATCTTATGTACTGATTTAAGTCTTTTAAATAATAACTCAAGTTTTTTCTTTTTCGGAAAAAAATATTTAAGTCACAAATCATTTTGAATATGACTTAAATTTGAAGTCTTAAGTCAGCTTTCAAGAAATGACTTAAAATCAAATGACTTAAGTCATTAAAATGATTTAAATCAAAAAAAAGATTTTCTGAGAGCTTGCAGCTCTGACCACAGGTTTATCGATGGACGGAAGTTCCTAGTTAGAACTGTCCATTCTGACTTGCAGCGCATGATTAGTTTTAAAAATCTGGAAAGTCAATTTGCACGTTGGTTGAAGAAATTACAAGGTTACTACTTCCAAATCAAGCATTGAAAAGAAACCGCAATACCAACGCCTATCACGTAGACCATGTATTGTCTACTCAAAATTTGGCAAAGGCATCAAGAGGAAAGGAGGCTGTCAAAATTTTGGGGTGTGTTCAAAGATGTGAGCCAATTATACCGAAACTGAGACAAATGCTGACGAAGACATTACCAGAGAAAACAAAATGCTAACCCAGGAATATGGTACGGTGGCTGACTAGAAAATGGGCAATGACATAGATGGCAAGGAAATTCCTGTTCTCGA